GCGCTGAGGGGACGCTGAGGGAGCGCTGAGGGAACGCTGAGGGAGCGCTGAGGGGGCGCGGGACGGAGCGATCCTCGTACCCTGTTCGCACAGTCCCAGAGCCCCCAGAGGGAAACCAGGCTGTGGGGGAACGCGGTGCAGCGTTAACGCGAGCGTCTGTGCTCACCGGCAGGGTATCCTACACTGGGACGCGGAGCCGCAGGGGCTGCCGTGCTCGCCTCCTGTGCCCGTCGCAGCTCCCGCCTTCCTCCCTCCCTCATCAGCCAAAGCGCATCACTCTGCGCTTACCACTGGCCAAGCTCCGAAACACGGGGATTTTTGCAGTTCAGTGGATGTGCTCTGGTGAACGGGAGCTCGGCAGATGTGGTAACTCGCTGCCATACCCGAAATGACTCGTGTGGAGTTTGCTGGTTTGAGTGAAAGTCTCTGTTATTCACAAAAGCACCTTCTGAAGCTTCTCTGTGTTGCAGTGCATAAGCGATAAAGGTGACAGAAAGATGAAGTGTTGAGGCAGAAGTAGGTAAGGAACAGCACATCACATCTTCCTTCCTTCCCCAGGACTGGGGACCTGTGGGTGTAGGGAAGGACTCTGGAAAGTGTCTGGTCCAACATCCTTGCCCACAGGAGCAGCAGGAACAGATCGCTCAGGACCTTCTGCTGGGTTTTGAGCATCTCCAAGGATGGCGACACCACAACCTCCTTGGGTGACTTCTTCTATCTTCACAATAAAAACTTTTTTTTTTTTCTATTTTTAAGCAGAATTTCCTGTGTTTTTGCCTGTGTCTGCTTCTCCTTCTCCTGTCACCCAGAAGAGCCTGGCTCTGTCTTGTTTACCCCCTCTATACATATCGGTATGATCCCCCTGAGCCTCCTCTTTCTAGGTTTAGCAACCCAGGCTCTCTCATCTTCTCAGTCAGATACTCCAATCCTTTAGCCATACAGTCACAGAGTGGTTTGGGTTGGAAGGCACCTTAAAATCATCGAGTTTCAACCCCTTGCCATGGACAGGGTCACCTTCCTCCTTCCATTTCCCTAATACTTCCTAATAAAAAAATACGGCACTAATGACAAGAGTTATTTACCACAAAGTGTTAAAATCCTGCCTCCCAGCCACCTGTGAAATTTAAAGGT